GCGGCCGTGTGAATCATTAAGGTGCCAGATTGGCGCGGTCCTCTGGGCAGTCCTAGTCCCGCCCAGCGGTCTGGGCTGCGGACGGGGGCCTGCCTGCTCGTTTCACGGCAACCGATGTGAATGCGCTGCCCCGCGCCCTCGGCGCCCCTCCTGCGCGTTTTCGGCCGGCCTCCGCAGGGGCGCCGAAACGCGTGGTGCGTTCCGCAACAAAGTCGTTCCCCGCACTCTCCTCTTCTTCCTCCTCCTCCTCCTCCTCCTCCTCTTCCTCCTCCTCCTCTTCCTCCTCCTCCTCCTCCTCTTCCTCCTCCTCGCGCACTGCGGGCCGCGGCGGTCTGTCCGCGGACTCCGCGCTGCGCCGCGCGCGGCCCGCGCGGCGCGGCGCCCGGGCCCCCGCCCCGCGTCGCGGCCTCCGAACGGCCTCGGAAAAAAGGGAGGGCCTCGGGACAAAAACATCAGGACCCAGAGGCGCCCCCCGTCTAAAAGGACATGCAGAAGGGGGCCTTCGCAGGCCCCGGGGGGAAGAGGCGGCGGGGGCCGCCCAGGCCGCGGGGGCGCGACGGCGCGGGGCCCTCGGGGGCCGCTCTGCCCGAGGCCGCGGGCCCGCCGCCCCCATCCGGCACCGGGTGGCGACCTCCCGCGCGCGGCTGCGAGCCGGGGGCCGTGGCGCGGGGGCCAGCCAGAGCTCCGCGCGCCTGCTCGGGCGCCCCCCACCCCGCGCCGGGGTCGGTCGGAGAGATGCCGACGGGGGCGACGGGCTTCGACGAGCCGTCGCAGAAAGAGCGGGGGGGGGGGGGCCGCGCGCCGGGACGGGGCCCGGGTGGAGGACGCGTCTGAGGGCCCCCCCGCAAGAGCAGCAACGAGGAGCCTCCAGGGCGCTCGAGCAGGAAAGGGGGGCGCGGGGTCCAAAGGGGGTCTCCAAGGCCTCGAGGGGGACGGCGCCCCGCGGCCACGGGACCAGGAGTTGGAGGTTGATGGTGACCTCGCCCCTTTCGGCCCGTCCGAACGGACGCCCCCGCCGGTGGCGCCTTCGCCCCAGGGGTTCGCCATCGGTTCTGCGTGGGCGCCGTCGCTTGCATTCTTCCTGAGCCCACGTTGCGAGCCTGTGAAGACGTCTACGTTTATGTCGGGCCTGTCCCCCAACCAGGGGGATTGTCGACGAAAAATAAAAAATACCCCCCAAAACACCCCAAGCAGGTCAAAAAATACTCAAAAAATAGTCCCCAAGCTATTTTGGGACTATGTTTGGGACAATTTTGGGTGTCTTTCTTATTTTTCGTCGGAAAACCCCTTTGTAGGGGGACAGGCCCGACTTAAGGCTAGCGTGCTGCCCCGCCCAGCGGAGCGGCAGGCAGGGAAGGTCTCGGGGACGTTGACGCTTGGAAATGAGGACGTGGTATTGACCACGAGAGAACACGTCCCCAACCCCGAAATCGCGCATTCGCCGAGGATTCCAAGATCGGCCAGAGAGTTCGGGGTATGTTTTGCATTCGTCGTCGTCGCCCTGGTAAAACCCTACCCCAAAATCTCCTTCCCCGAAGTCTCGAGGAGCCCGCATTTTGTCTTTGACTACCTACCAGACCACCCCAACCCAACCCGAAGACCCGAGTTTGACCCGAATTTCGGGTTGGGGGGGGGGGTACGGGTTCTATGTGTTTTTCAACGTTCCCCGACCCCCCCCCACTGGAAATGGATGGCAAATTGAGGCCTTCGGGTTGGGTTGGGGTGGTCTGGTAGGTGGCTCTGTCTTGGCCCTCGCGTTTTTGGGCCGCTGGTGCGCCGGCGCCGCCGGGGGCGCGGCGCTGCTCCCTTCGCTGCCGAGCGGGCGGCCCCGCTAGCGGAGGCCCGACCTGGCGGCCGCCCTCGGCGCCAGCGGCGCTGCGGCCGTCGTCGGCCCGACGGCCGCCCTTCGGCGCGCGCGGCGCTGTGACTTGTCATCTTAATTAATGGTGAATTCTTGTTTAATAGTTCTCTGGAAATGTTTCCCAGACCTTGGCACGTATCAAATCTATGTTGATATAGACTCGGTCCTCTCCGCCCTCTCCTTCCTCCTCTGGCTCAGGCTTGGCGGCGCGCACAAGAGGGTGGGGGGAAGGGGGAGGGCTTCTTAGAAGGAGGCTGCTTCTTAGAAAGGACAAGGAAGGCCGCCGGCTTACATCTAAGAGAAGGCCCGCGCCTTCTAAGAAGCAGGGGTGCTTCTAAGAAGCCCTCCCCTTCCCCCCACCCCCCTCTGCGCGTGGCCGAGTGACAGCCGGGGGCCTCACTTCGTTGAGCTCGTCGATCTCGCGTCGCCACTGTTCGCCCCGCGCTGGCGCCGAATCTCTCGGTCGGCCGACGCCTCCTCGTCATTGCCGGTCCTGGGCTCCATCAACAATGTTCCCGGGCCGTTGTGGCCGCAGTGATGCGGGTACCTCGCGTGCTCGGAGCTGCCTCCGCTGTCCCTGATGGTCCCGGAGATGATGGCGTCGGTGCTGGTGAGGCCGCCGTCGCTGCCTGGCATGCCGATAGTGGTCTTGGTGGTGGTGGTGACGACTCCCCGTTGGTGTCGCAGGGCCTCGTGCTCGCCGATCTTGAGGTGCCTTGCCGCGTGGTCGGAGGCGATGCAGGGCGTTGAACTGGCCGTGCCAGCGTAGGCAATCGAGATTGCTCGTCGCAGTGCTTCGTTAGCTGCTCACCCCCTTTCGCTTGTCGATTCTTTCGCGTGCCTCTGCCACCGCGGCGTGGAGCCGCTGCGTATCTTTTCTGTCGTGGCTCGCAGTGCCGATATTGATGTCAATAATGTCAAGGCCAGTTTCCCGTTCGCGGGCGAGCTTGATAATCTCCTGGATGTTGCAGCCACCTTGCTCGTAGAAGGGATGTTTGTTGACTTCTGAACTGTTTTCCAATTTGGTCGACGGCCCGTTGGATCTCCTGGCGCGCGTCGGTGATGAACGTGCCGCCGTCGGACATGATGAGCACGAAATTGGGTACCTTCGCGCTGTCGTCGTCGTTCGTGTTGCTCTGGTTCTCGGTTCTCGCGTCTGCCCCCTGGCATCGCTCAGGTACCATAGCTGGCATCGGCGCTGCGAGTCCTTCGATGTCGACGGTCTTCGGACCTTTGGAGCTGCATGTGCGTACGTAAACTCGGCGTGGTCATCGGGCAACCCGTTGCGCTTGTCACTTCGTCGCGGTATCTTGATCTCCGCCTCATCCCCATTTCCTCCTCCTCCCGGTTCTCCGTCCCTTCCTTCCCCCCTCTTCCTCCTCCCTTCCTTCCTTTCCCCCCTCCGACCTCCTCCTCCTCCGCCTCCTCCCCCTCCCCTTTTCCCCTTCGACATAGATGAGTCCTCCCCGTCGCACCCTGGGGCTGGTCGAAGAGGCGGGCCAGGCGGTTCGCCTAAAACTTCCCCACCGTTTGCGACCCATAAGTATCAACGTTGGCAACAATTTCACACATGGAGGGCAGGTCGCTTCCATCCTGCGACTCTCGCCTTAGCACCGCGGACACTCCTCGCTAAGATCTGCAATAGTTTAAAGGATTGGGTGGCGGGCCGTTTTCAAAATGTGTCTCTCGCCTAAGCCCCGCGCGCCTTAAAAGAAATGTGCAAGAGCTTCGCGGATTGAAGGTGGTGCCTTTTCGAAATGCGGTTCCCGCCTTAGTGCCGCGCGCAATATTCTTAGTTGCCATGGATTAACGGATTGATGGTGGTGCCTTGCCAGGGCGCGACATTTACGTTGATTCGGGGTGTTGAAATCCCAGGAATGGCGCTGGCACGGCTCCGGATCGCCAGGACGCAACAGTAAGTTGACTCGTAGCATTAGAGTCACGGGAATGGTGTTTCGGTGCGCTTTAAATTTTCAAAACGGCTGTCTCCCCATGGGGCAATTCCCACTGTGGAAATGATTTCTTGTGGGGCCTGTGAAGAGGGATCCTGGAGGGAGGGTTGATGCTGATATCGTAGATGAGTCTTGTCTTTGCACTGGTCCTCCTCCTCCTCCTTATTTCTTTTCTTTCCACGGCCATGACAACGAACGTCTGAGGTGTCCACACATGCAACGTCAGCGGAAAGAGAGGCAAGGCAGAGACAGAGAGAGAGAGAGAGAAACAACGATGGCCATCTTCAGCCCTCCTCGCAATACGTGTCGAAAGTTGAATGCAGATGGGAATCCTCCTCCTCCTCCTCCTCCTCCACAATTGCTCAATATGAATACTACTCTCCCTCTTCCCCTGATGACGGTTTGAAAGTGTCCGACCCCCCCCCCGCGTACTGTCTTGTTACACACAAGTTTCCCCGGAGTTGGGTTTTCGCCTGCATTTTTTTCAAAAAAGCTGCTCTCGCTGAGGCGCCAGCCTCATTTTCGGGCCCCGCTCGTTCCGAATCGTGCTCCCGCTGCAGCGCTGGCCTCATTTCCGTGCTTCCGCTCGTTCCGAATCGTGCTCCCGCTGCAGCGCTGGCCTCATTTCCGCGCTTCCGCTCGTTCCGAATCGTGCTCCCGCTGCAGCGCTGGCGTCATTTCCCGTGTCATGCCACGGCATGCAATGCAATGCTAGGTTGATACTGACGCTTTGCGGTGCTCTTCTACGCCCATGCCATGCTTTCGGGATCATTTGGCCCTGCTCGACATCCAACTGTGCGAGTAGAGAGGGAATCTGCCCCATGGTAAGGGATGGGAGGGAGGGGTCGGATGTCAGATATGACGCGAGCGCACCTAGCTTGCCCTCCTCCCCTCCCCCCCTCCCCCCCCTCTCCTCCTCCTCCCTCCTCCTCCTCTCCTCTCCTCCTCCTCCCCCTCCTTCCTCCTCCTCCTCTCCTCCTCCTCCTCCTCCTCCTCCTCGTCGCTCGTCCTCGTCTCTCCCTCCTCCTCCTCCTCCTCCTCCTCCTCCTCCTCCCTCCTTCCTCCTCCTCCTCCTCCTCCTCCATCCACCCTCCGCAGCCACCCCTCGCGTCGTCCCGAGCCCCTCCCTCCCCTCCGCGCCCGCTCCTCGAGGCCCTTGAGGCCCGCCTGGCCGCCGTCGTCGAGGCTCAACCCGTGGTGCTCGACATAGAGCCGGAAGGACCGTAGGTCCTGCCCCCGCCGGCGGAAGGGCCAGAAACGGGCGAGTTGGTAATTGAGGGCCTGGACTCTCCCTCCCTCCTTCTCCTCCTCCTCCTCCTTTCCTCCTCCTCCTCCTCCTCCTCCTCCTCCTCCTCCTCCTCCCCTCTCCCCCCCCTCGCCCCCTCCCGCTCCCCTCTCTGCCCTGCGCCTGCGGGATGGGGCGGGCAAGCCAGACGCCACCCACGCCGACCGCGGGGAAGCAGACCAAATCCGTTCCTGGACTGCGGCGTGGGTCCGCCGGCCACTCCGCCCGGGCGCAGGAGCGGGCGGGCTGGTCAGGAGCGGGCGGGTTGGCATTTGAGTGTGGCCTGAACGGGGGTGAAGAAAAGGGCCTTCAAAGGGCCCCTTCGGGGCTTCGGCAAGCGGCAAGAGGGGCCCCAGAGGGCCCTTTCGGGCCCTCTTCTTCGCCCCGCACGCCCGTCAGGAGCACCATGCGAACAGGGCGCCCCGCGGCCGAGGGAGGAGGTGGGGGGGGTGGGTGGAATGAGGAGGAGGAGGAGGAGGAGGAGGAGGAGGAGGAGGAGGAGGAGGAGGAGGAGGAGAGGAGGAGGAGGGGGTAGGGGGGGGGAGGGGGGGAAGGAGGAGGAGGAGGAGGATGATGATGATGAGGAGGAGGAGGGGGGGGGAGGTGATGAGGATGAGGATGAGGATGAGGAGGAGGAGGAGGAGGAGGAGGGAGGAGGAGGAGGAGGAGGAGGAGGAGAGGAGGAGGAGGAGGAGGAGGAGGAGGCGGGAGGAGGAGGAGGAGGAGGAGGAGGAGGAGGAGGAGGAGGAGGAGGAGGAGGAGGCGGGGGGGGAGGAGGAGGAGGAGGAGGAGGAGGAGGAGGAGGAGGAGGAGGAGGAGGAGGAGGAGGAGGAGGAGGACGAGGAGGAGGAGGAGGAAGAGGAGGAGCAGGAGCAGGAGCAGGAACAGGAGCAGAAGCAGGAGGAGGAGGTGGAGGAGGAGGAGGAGGACGAGGAGGAGGAGAGGTAAGGCAAGAGAGCAGCCAAACCTCGCGCCTGCGCGCCCTCGCGGAGCCCCCTGGAGAAGGGCAGCCGCTCTGGCCCAGATCGCAGCGCGCGGGGCGCGATGATCTTCGCGCACACACGGGTGACCTGGAGCATCGGGGCCGACGAACGTATAATTTATTTGCTTCCGCCACCTGGGAGGCCTTGGAGCGTGCATCATTGAGCGCTGCCTTGCAACCACACTGCCACTGCTTCTGCCCAGAGCGGCTTCTCAGTCCCCACGAACACACAAACAAATGCCAACGATGCTGCAACATGGGCTGGCGGATTCAACGACGCGGTTCAGCAAGCTGTTCCGCCAACGGGGGCACCTGTCCCAGGACGGCTCGAAACTGTATCACCCTACGGCGGCGGCGTGGGGGCATACACTTTCTGGCCGTCCTGCGAGCGGGAATAACAGGGCGGACGAGGGGGGGGAAAATGTACGAATAACAGACTGCATACATATAAACGTTCGGAGGTCCGCAGGGATCTCTGCCACGATCCCTGGCGCGTGGAGCGCCGAAGTCAGAATGCCGCGTGGACCTCCGAGAATTTAGTCATGTACAGTGGGGGCCCATGCCAAGAGACACCCTGCTTGCCTCCAGGGTGCCCTGGGAGTCTTGGGTTTCGATGGTTTTGCTGTGGGAACAGGGACGTTCCCACACCAAATATCGATGGACGTCCTGGGGTCTCAGGGTTGGATGTCTTGTGGGAGGTCTCTCGTGGACTAGCCTCCACTGTATTGTGTGTCCTTCTTCGGAGCAGTGGGGGGGGGCGAGGCGAAGCGAGGCGAGGCGACTCCCGGTTCGCCTGGACGAGCGGCCGCGCGAGGGGCTGGGAGGTGGCGCCGGGGCGCCGCTCATGCAGTCACCGGGGATGGATTCGCTGTTCTTGTGTGCACGTAACCATCTTCCAATTCTTCCACATCTCCTCGAATGCTCAGCAAATCTTCTCCACATATTGTGCATATGAGCTCTGTCATATCGTCGATCCATCTTGTCTGGGGGTGGGTGTGATAGCCGCTTGGCACGTTCCATGGGGGGGGGGGGTAGCCAAACGACGACACAGTGCTGGCGCTTCTCCCGGTCCCTGGCGAGAGGAGGCGGAAACATCGACCTGGAATCGACGATACGCCGCGGACACATCGGTGATAGGCTTCCGATAGTAAATCCCAGCCGTTCCTTGGGCAGGCTGGGGCTATCGGGCCCCTATCGGCGATCAATGGGCCACTGGGGGCCGATGCACCCACCCGTACTACTTGAATCCTACTCCTGGCAAGGGCTTCGAAGAGCTTCCTGCGATTGGGCCGCCGTGCATACTACTGCACAGAGTCGATACACCAAGTTGTATCAAACATTGACCGCCCCATTTCTTCTGCGTATGACTGGCTTGGTGTATCGGCCCGCCTCGGGGCCCGCGAGCGCACGACACCGCCTCAGGTGGGCGCTCGCAGATTCATCGAAAGGTAAGATGGTTATACGACTGACGATCGTACTTGTTGTTTTTGTTTCACTTGCTGTAATTCTTCCACAACTGACGACAATAATGACAAGCCCTATCGGCGATCCATGGGCCGTTGGGGTTGAGCAGGGACCGACCGTCCCGGCATTCCTATAGTCCTACCTCGAAATGTTCTTAGAACCCCAACATGCTCTAATAACAAAACCTATGTTCTTAGAACATAAAACCGATGCGTGAAACAAAGACAGTCCCAGCCAGAAGTGTTCTAAGAACATCTCGTGGTAACCACACAAAAGGTTCCTGGAACGTGGTTTGGTAGGGCTACAAAGCGAGCCAGGACGCCTCGCCATTGCTTGCTGGAGGTCGACGCGCCCCCCCCCCCCCGTCGCTGTCGCTGCCTCGAGGCGAGCGCTCGGCGGCGGGGCCGGAGCCCGCTGCGCGCAGCTGCGCGCAGCAGCGCTCGCCCCCGCCGCCGCTCCGCCGGCCCCGAGGACGGAGCAGAAAGAGGAGGAGGAGGAGGAAGAGGAGGAGGAGGAGGAAGAGGAGGAGGAGGAGGAGGAGGAGGAGGATGAGGGGGAGGAGGAGGAGGAGGAGGAGGAGGAGGAGGAGGAGGGGTTTTAAACCCGCGTGTCCCCGCCCGTGAGTGGGTGCCCCTGGTCTCGTCACTCCGCGCAGGCAGAACGGCCCGAGGCGGGGTGGGCCAGCGGCCTCATCTCACGGCGTCTTACTGCCGCCACTCTGTGACTCATGGAGTCGCCCCGTGAGCAGCGGCAGTCTGAAGAAATGCTGCCGCTGCCCACTCAGAACTTGAGGAGCAGCCTGATGGACGGCCGCAGCCGCTCCTCCGCTCTGCGCTCTTCCAGGGACCGCCCTGGCTGCTGGTCCCTGGCCCCATGGGCCTTCTCGACCGCCCTGCCTGGCGCAGAGCTGCGGCCTAACCCCTCGCCACGCTGGGGCGCGTTGCGGCCTAACCCCTCGCCGCGCAGGGGTCCTCCGTGGCCTAACCCCTCGCCGCGCTGGGGGTCGGTGCGGTCTAACCCCTCGCCGCGCTGGGGAAACTCGTGGCCTAGCCCCTCGCCACACTGGGGGCTGCTGCGGTCTAACCCCTCACCGCGCTGGGGTGCTCCGTGGCCTAACCCCTCGCCACGCAGGGAGCTGTTGCGGTCTAACCCCTCGCCGCGCTGGGGTGCTCCATGGTGGCCTAACCCCTCGCCACGCTGGGGTCTGTTGCGGTCTAACCCCTCACCGCGCTGGGGCCCATCGTGGCTTGACTCCTCGCCACACTGGGGGTCAATGCGGTCTAACCCCTCACCGCGCTGGGGAATATCGTGGCCTAACCCCTCGCCACGCTGGGGGCTGCTGCGGTCTAACCCCTCACCGCGCTGGGGTGCTTCGTGGCTAACCCCTCGCATGCAGGGGCCTGTTGCGGTCTAACCCCTCGCCGCGCTGGGGTCCCTTGTGGCCTAACCCCTCGCCGCGCGGGGGCCTGCTGCTGTCTGACCCCTCTCCACTGTGGGGTCCTCCGTGGCCTAACCCCTCGCCGCGCTGGGGATCGTTGCGGTCTAACCCCTCACCGCGCTGGGGTACTCCGTGGCCTAACCCCTCGCCACGCTGGGGCCTGCTGCGGTCTAACCCCTCACCGCGCGGGGGTACGCCGCGTCTCGCACTGTCCCCGTCCTCGGTGCTGCTGCCCCCTGGCTCGGGCGGGGTCCCACGACTTTGCCACTCGCTGTGTTCGCGGTTCACGTGGTATCCGCGGGCCGTGCCCTCCCCCTCGCGTTCAGACTGTCGGTTTCCCAGGGTTTGGGTCCGCTCTGTTAGTAGCGAGGTCCTGTCTACCACACTGTTGGTCAAAAGGTCCGCGTTTTGCTCACTGGGCACGTCATAGGCTTCCGCCTCAAGCCTCTGCTTGTCTTTGGTCCTGCGGTCTACCCCCTCACCGCGCAGGGGATTTCCGTGGCCTAACCCCTCGCCGCGCAAGGGTGCCTTGCGGTCTACCCCCTCACCGCGCTGGGGTGGGTCGCCGACGATCTTATTCAAGTCCCGCTGCAGGTCTGTATCGTCGTAGTCTGCCGCCTTCTCAGGCTGCGCTGTTTTGTGGCCTAACCCCTCGCCACGCGGGGGAGCGCCGAGTCTCGCACTGTCCCCATCCTCGGTGCTGCTGCACACTGGCTCAGGCAAGGTCCCCCGACTATGCCACTCGATGTGTTCGCGGTTCACGTGGTATCCGCGGGCCAAGCCCTCCCCCTCGCGTTCAGTCTGTCGGTTTCCCAGGGTATGGGTCCGCTCTGTTAGTTGCGAGGTCCTCTCTACCACACTGTTGGTCAAGGCGTCCGCGTCATGCTCACTGGGCTCGTCAGGGACCTCCGCCTCGATCCTCTGCTTGTCTTTGGATCTGCGGTCTAACCCCTCACCGCGCTGGGGTCCTCCGTGGCCTAACCCCTCGCCACGCTGGGGTCCTCTGCGGTCTGCCAGGTGGTACCCTATGCTGTGCTGTACATCTGGGAACTGCTGGTGGTCGTCATCGCTGCTTTGCTTGTCTGCGGCCTGCTGGGGGCTGTCCTCTCTGTTCTCCTCTTCAGGGAAGTGGTCGAGGTCTGCCATGTCCTTGGTGCTGCGTCCTGCTGGTGGGGGACGGGCACCCCTCTGCATCCCGTCTGGCGCAGGGCTGTGGCCTAACCCCTCGCCACGCTGGGGTCTTCGGCCTAACCCCTCGCCGCGCAGGGGTCCATGGTGGCCTGTCCCCTCTCCGCACAGGGGCCTCCTCGGCTGTCTGGCTGGTGCCCTGCTTGGCACTCGCCCTGCTGCTTGCGGTCGCGGGCTGCGGCTCCTCACCTCTGGCTCAGTCACGCCCAGGATCTGCTCAGCCGTTGCTCTGCGCCGCTCTGCCTCCTTCGGGTCCTGCTGCTGGATCTGTCTGCGCTCCTCTCCGCTGTTGAGCCATGCCAGGCGGCAGATCTCCTCCGCCGCTCGGCGCTGGCTGCGCTGGCGGCTCGTCCCTGACACGTGGCTGAAAAGCCTCTGATAGACGCCAGTCTGCAGCGCCCTCAGCACATGGGGCACGCACGCGGCCTGCCACGATGGCCAGCCCAGCTCGCCCTCTTTCTGGCTCCAACAGCCTGCCAACGACTGCATGAGCTGCTCGAGCCTGTTCCTCTCGAGCCACGCCACCTCCTGCTCGGGGTCCTGGTCAGCTTCTCCTTTGTTGTGTCGAAGCCTTGGGTGGAGCAAGCCGGCCTCGTCAGCTTCGCTCACGAACTTCATCAGGTCGGGCCCCACTGGCTTGGTCAGCGTTACTGCCACCTGCACTGCCGTCTGCATCAGGCTGCTGGCGTCGTGCCTCTGATCAGGTCCCGCCATGGTCTCCATCTCCTGGCTGCTCGGCTCACCCTCCAGCTCTGGGGCTTCACTGTCTGGGGTCGAATCATCATCGTCCAGGTTCTCTGGTGACCACTCTCGGCTGGCCTCCGCTGTTCTCGGCAGCGGCCTGCGCTCACAGCTGGGGATGCTGTGCGCTATGATGTTGTTCCTTCTGTTGTGGAAGGCGTCCATGTGCACTCTAGCTGCCTGCTGCCATGTGCCATACGGGAGGGTAAGCATCCTGGTCATGAGCCTCCGTCGCGTGCGGTGCGTGTTGCGCCAGACTTCTTCGCAGAAGTCCTTTATCTGCTGGATCTCCTGCTCGGTGATGGCCCTGGTCTGCTCTTGCGTGTCCGTTCTGCCGCCCACATTGGTGATGGCCAGGAGGTACGGTACGCAGTGCTCCATCCAGTCGTCCATATCGTCCCAGACCTCTTGGTCGACCATGTTCATCCACAGCTCTGCGTAACCCTCCATGTGGTCGACGAGCCTCAAGCTGGCGTGGACGACAGAGTACGGATGGCTGGGTGGCTGCTGCGGAGCTGGCTGCGGGTCCCCTGCCTCTGAGCTGTCCCCGTCCAGATCGATCACCTCGTGGTTACTCAGGCCGAGCTTGAAGTCACCTGGCATGGTGATCTCGTCGAGACCCTCTTCAGCTGGGTCTGCTGCTGGCTTAGCTCCTCTAGGCAGCTTACCCCTCTGCATGTCCTCCAAGACTCGCCGCCCTGCTGCTGTTGGGGGCTGACATGGCCTTGCCAGCTTCCTTGCCACTCCTGCCGCGATCCTGCTCTTGTGGTCCCCAAGGTAGCTGGTGCCGCCACATTTCTCGCACCAGAGCCAGCCATGGGTGTACTGCGTCTTGTGGGAGCCATGCACCACCTGCGTGCCGATCTGCACCGCCGTGAAGTCGAGCCTGACGTTGCCGTGCTGGTCCTGGTGGCCGCCGTACTTCCCGAGGCATTTTCCCGTCTCTGCCAACCAGTCTCTGATGCTTTGTCCTTTGGCTGGGCCACTGCGGCACGTTGCACACCACCATCGCGGATGTAGTTTTCGCAGGTCGTGTCCCTGCTGGGCTGCCCTGTCCCTCGCCGTCTGCGGCTTTCGCCGCTTGGCCTTGGGGCGCTGAGGGGCCTTGTTGGGGTCCTCCACCATCGCCGCCATGTTGATGGCCAGCGGTCGGTTCTGCACCGCCATGGTGATCTGGTCTCTGATCTGCTGCTGCACGATGATAGCTGGATCCAGTGCTCCGTGCTCCGCCCCCCAGCCTGCGCACTTATCTGCCATCTCGTTACCTATGACCCACCAGGTGTGACCATTCCACCTCTCCAACTCGGTTGGGTGCTCAATCAGGTGGCTCGGGATGTGGTGGCCCATGATGGTGTCCGTGCTGTTCTGTAGCTGCTGCTTCGTTTGGAGCCAGAGGTCGTAGTTCGTGCTCCTGTAGTCCAGATCCTCAGGGTCCTGGATCTGCTTGGGTGCGTCCAGGGCGTATTTGCAATCGCTGACTATGTTGAGCCCCCTGGCTGTCGCCGCCGTGGTGTACCCGATGGCTTTGCTCGTGGCGGTGAGCTCTGCCCGTGGCACCGTGTGCGGTGCCCTGATTGTGCCGCACCAGGCAGCCACTTCCTGCGGACGCCCTTGTTCGTCGAACCTGAATGCCACCACTGCCCAGCCGCAGCGTCTGAGGCGGGGGTCCCTGGCCGTTTCCCCTGCACCACCTGAGCCGTCCGTAAAAAAACATAGTCTGCTCGTACCTTGTGCCCTGACTGGGCTGCAGCTTGTGCCTCTTCGCTGGTGCAGAAGATCTGCGCCGCCTTCGCCGCGTCCTCGTCTGGGTCGACCTTGGCTGCCCAGGCCGCTGGCGGGATGCCTCGGAGCCAGAAATGCAGGTCCTGCCGCTGGTCCAGCGCGTCCTTCGCCTTCTTCGCCAGGTCGGTGTCATTGCTGTGCCCTATTTCTGCGTTGGCAGGGCATGCGTAGTAGCGGTGTTCCTCTGTCTCTATCGCCTCGCCGCATCTCGCGCAGGTGTCATCGCCTTCTTGGTTGAGGTTGGCCGCCCTGCGACGCTCCCTGGTCCAGATGCCCGCCACCGCTATGGTCTCCAGCATGGCTGCCTCTGCATGCTGTCCTTTACGCCTCCTTCTTCTCAGGTGGCGCTGCAGCTGATAGAGGTCGCCTCCAGCCTGAAGTCCTTCTCCACTGCGATGGCCAGCTGCCTGCTGCCAGAGCTGCTGCTGCGCGCTCCGCTGGACCTCATGCAGGAGCGCGCCGAAGTGGGGAATGTCATCTGGCTTGTAGGCCCACTCGTCACCTGCTGGGCTGATCCAGCTGTCCAGGCGTCGCGGTATCCAGCCTAACCCAAACAACTGCACAATGACCCCTGCCATAGGCCCCTTGACCTGCTGCCACCTGCGGTTGGGTTCCAGGGCGCCCAGCTTGGCGTAGAGCAGGAGCCAGCCCCTCTGGTACCTCTTGAGCTCCGTCGGGTGGTCGACTACGGTGAGCCAGAACTGCTTGATCTGGTCGCCGATGGCTCGGGTTACTGCCTCTTGCATACCCCTCTGGATCAGGAGGATGGTGGACGTGCAGCGTCCAGCCTTGTGTCCGCCTGTGAGGAGCGCTGCCTCCGTTGCCCTGACCAACTTCGCCTCCGTGGGCGTGATGCCGTGCGCTGGTAAGTCCCAAGCCTGCTGGCAGTAGGCACCTGCTGCATAGACCTTTGCCGCGCCTCTGGCGTCCGTCTTCGCCAGGTCCCTGAGCTTGGCCACCCTCTGCTTGGCCTTGGCCTGGCGCGCGGCATGGGTGGGTCGCCGCAGCTGCTTTCCAAGGCTGGTGTCCACGCCGAGGTCGCGCACTACCCCTGGTTGCTTGTTGGGGGTGCCCAGGCTGTCCAGGATGCTGGCGACTTCTGCCTGGAGGTCCTTGTCCGAGGCCACCACTGCCGTCTTGACAGAGATGGGGATCGCGAGCTGCTTGAAACCATCGTGCACCAGCGCCGCCACGTGCTTGATCTGGTCAAAGACCTGCCACCGCGCGCCCTACGAAGATGTGGTGCCTGTGCGCTGCATCCAGGATTCCATACAAGAGCGGTCTGGTGAGGTCTACCGCTTGGCCACAGCCTGCTACCATGCTGTTGGCAGGCTCAAAGATGTCCGAGAAGAGGCTGTGGGCCATGATGGCCCTGGGCGCAAGGTACATCTGCACGGCCATTGCCAGCGGCAGCAACGGGTACTGGAGGGCACTGGCCTTCTCGATCAGCTGGTCGAGGCCTATGTTGTCGTAGAAGTTTGCCGCGTCGTAGAACACTCCTGCTGCATGAAAGCCCATCTCCGTGGCGGCTTCTGCCCCCATAAGTCTGTGCATTGCCACTCGTAGCGCTGAGGAGCCAGCTACTGCCGCATCCCAGAAGCCCGCCGCTGCCTTACTCCAGGTGGCTACTATGGGCCTCCTGGCTGCGCTCCAGATGCGGTACGGCATGGGCATGAGGCCGATGGGGCGCTCTCCCCCTATTCCTGGCTTCTTACCCAGCAGCAGCTCCAGCACCAGGTAGAATTGCCACGGCCAGGCTGCCCGTTGCTCACAGCTGGTCAGGCACTGCACGAAATCTTCCAGCCCCTGGGCTCCCATGGCCTTGAGCCCTGGAGCCCTCCACCAGTCCGCTCCTTGGCCTGCATTGCTCTTCAGGTGCTGGATGATGGGGCCTATGATGTCCTTGCTGATGGGCTCGAGGGCATTCTCTTGGGCCAGGGAAGCCTGCCTCAACTTGGCCAACGCCTCTTGGATCCTCTCGGCCTTCTGCGCATCTCGTGTCCACCTGCGTTGCCATGCTTCTTTGCGCAGGTCCACCAGCTGCCGCGGGTGGTTGATGACCTGGCCCTCGTGCTCTAGGATGTCCTCCAGATGGCTGCGCTCCGCTGCTTTGGTGTAGGCGTGGGCCATATTCGCACTGCCTGCCGTGGCGTCGTGCACCCAGTGGATGTACGCCTTCTTCACCGCCTTTGTGAGCAGCTTGGCCATGCTCTTTACCTCCTCTGCTACCCTGCTGATCGTCCCTGGGTCCACGAGGGCGCCCTCTGCTATCGCGTGCAGGTCTGCGAGGAGGGCCTGCTGCTGGTCCTTGGCTGCACCTTCATCGTTCAGCCTGCCTGGGTCAGGCTGGTTGAGCTGCTGCGCAAGCTGCTGTCTTGTGTTGATCTGCTGCTGCGTATGGCGGCCACTGTGGGTGCGGACCTGCTGCTCTCGGCGGCTACTCTGGCCACTGCCTGTACCTGGAGCATCATGTAGTTGTCTTCGCGCTGCTCCTTCTGGTGCTCGTTCGCCTATAACTTCTCGCATGAACCTCCGCAGGTTTGCGAGCTCCCTCCAATGCATCATTTCCAATTCGTGCCTCCTCGTCGGCACCTCTCGCGCAAGTCCTTGGAGAAAGCCTCGGCGTCGTGGTTCTGCATGCCTCCATGCTCGCTCGCAGAGGTCCCCGATGATGTGGCTGAGGCCAGCCTGTTGGCACCTACGCCTGAGCAGTCTCACCATGCCATTGTTGCCTCCGCCTCCCAGGATGGTCTCCAGGAACGGCGCACAGATCTGCATCCAGTTGCTGTTGTCCGTGGGGAGCTGCACCAAGTTATCCACCCAGATGGCCGCCCAGTACTCCAGGTCGTCTCTCATGGCCACGTAGTCTTCCCGCCCCCGCTGGTGTTGGTCGTCATTCCAGGGGTCTGAAGGGGGCAGGCCCATATCTCGTTGCTCATCTGCCTCTGGGCTTGGCGGCGCTTGGTTCTGACTCCTCAGGTGATCGGTACCCTCTGCCTCCAGAGTGCCAGCTGGCTGAGGAGGTGGGCAGTGCGTGTCACCTGGGGCGGTTTCACCAGATCCAGCTGCCTGGCGACGTGCGGTCTGGCCGTAGCCGTTGCCATCCTGCTGCCCCTCGATACGCTGGTGGTACCCATCGCAGTCCTCCTGGTCTGCGGTCTCCTGGCGGTTCTGGAAGCGGTCCTCCTCGTCCTCGAAGGGGTCGTGGTCTTGGACGTCCATGGTGCTGCGTCCTGCTGGTGGGTGAGAATCAGGTCCAGCTGCTCGACGGCGAGCGGTCTGGCTGGACTCGAGGCTGGCCTGCTGCCCCTCGATGTGCTGGTGGTACCCATCGCTGTTTTCCTGGTCTGCGATCTCCTGGCGGTACTCCAAGTAATCCTCTCATCCTCGAAGGGGTCGTGATCTTGGATGTCCATGGAGTTGCGCCCTGCTGGTGGGGGAAGGGCACCCCTCTGCATCCCTTCTGGGCAGCTGTCTGCGGTGCTGTGGGTTTGCCCCACGTGGAGGTCTGGGACGCCTCCTGCTGCGCCTCCACTGCCTGCGCTCCGCTGCTGCAGCTCGGGGGGGCCCTTGCCCCGCTCGGTGGGGGAGCGTTCCACCGAGCTTCCTCCCGAGCTCTTCGATGGGCTCAAGGCTGGTGCAGGGTCGCCTTCTTCGTGGCCTTCCTGGCTGCCCGACATGACGGGGCCAAGCTCCGACTCCAACGGGCCCTGTCCTCCTCCCGAGTCCTCATCGGGAAGTGCATGGGTCTTGCCCTGTCGACTTGCCGCTGCCTCCTGCGCTCGGGCGTCGTGGTGCGAGAGCTGCCGCACCAAGGAGGAGATCTCCGCCCACCACGCATGGATCTTCCTTTCAACCCCTGCCCATGGCGTAGAGGTGACGGTGTCCTTGATGCTCGCGCTCTTGTAGCTCGGGGGCCTGCTGTGCCCGAGATGACGTCCTCGCTCTTCCTCTGGGATGCCGATGCTCTCGCACAGGCTGAGCTCGAGTGTGCTAGCGAAGTGGTCGTACTGTTGCCCCGGATCCAGCATGTCCCGCTCCATCATCTTGCCGACGACAGTGTGATGCAAGTGCTGGGGCAACTCGTCGTAGACACGCAAGCTGACCCTCTCGGAGGTGGCCTGCCACAGCTCGTCAGGGATGACGTGCTGGGCCTCCTTGTCGTAGTGCAGCTGCGGCACTGGCTCCATGTCGTTTTCTTTCCTGGTCGCATCCTGCCTCTGCCAACGCTTGCTGACGTCGACGCATGGCCTCCTGGCCTCCTCGCGCCGCTCGCCTGCAAGCGGCTCTGGACTTCGGCATTCTCTCAACTGCGACTGGTGGCTTTATGGCTGCTGGCCTGCGATGCACCCTGCCCTTGAGCTTTAGAGGCCGCCCTCTCAGCTTCAAGCGGATGCCAATGCGCGGCTTCCACGGCACGGTCCTGGGCAGCTCTAGCTGGTCAAAATACGGCGCCAGGCCCTGCGAGATCAGCGCGAAATCGATGCACCTGGCTTCGCCTCCTGCTGGGAAGCACGTGGGGGCGCCATCCTCCGCCGCTGCTACTTGAGCATCCAGCACCCTGGGCCAGATGCTGTTGTTGAGCTCCGACGGCGTCATGTTGAAGTCCCCAAGCGCTGCCCATGGCCCTCCCCAGACGGCCACCTTTTCCCGCAGGTCGCAGAGGATGTCGACGTTCCTCTCTCCAAAGCCCGTCCCACACTCAAGGTAGACGAAGGCCACTGCGAAGCGGACCTTGTGCAGGTTGGAGATCACCACCGTGACGTCGCTGCCGTCCTCGTGCAGGTAGTGCTCGTCGAAGCCCGCGATCCTGTCCTGGACGTCCAAGGATCCTCGCGTAATGGCACACGTTCCTCCTCGAGTGCCTTCTCCTTCTCCTGGCCGTGCCTTGGTCCAGTAGCTGTGCATGCCATTCCTCCTGAGCGCCGCTCTTGCCTTGCCTATCTGCGCAGGCTGGCGGAGGTGGTGCTCCGCGATGCCGATGATGTCCCTGTCCTTGGTGTCGTTGATCTCCACGAGGTAGCCCTGTGCCTGGGGGCCCCAGGTCGTGACATTGAAGAAGTCGATGTGGTAAGGGCGGCGAGCCTTCTTCGCGCTCGCCTTGGGGCGGCTACCCTGCGGAGTGGTCACCTTGCCCTTCTGCGTCGACGACTGTCTCGGCGCGCCTGGCCTGCGAGACCTTCTCTCGCGCCTCCTGGATGTGGGCCTCCACTCTAGCTCGGCGTTCCTCTGCTTTGTCATGTTCTGCTGCACCTGCCTCTGGTTGGGCAGCTGCCGCGGCGCCGTTAGGCGCAGCCGCAGCAGCTGCCCCTGCTGCCTCAGCGCCTGTGGTGGCACCTCGCTGAGGGGCTGGGCTGGCAGCGCAGACACGCTTGCCTGGTGGGGCTTCTGCTGCTTCTGGGTCTTGCTCTCCGCTCTTTGACAGGCGCTTGGTGCGGGCCTGCTCGAGCTGGCGCAGCTGCTCCTGGTGCCTGGCCGTCTCTTCCTCCAGAAGTCGCAAGTGCTTCGCCGTCTCCTCCTCGTGCTCCTTGACCGTCTGGGTCATGCGCTCGCCCTTGGCCTTTGCAGCTCGCCAGACCTCCTTGTCAGGCCCGGACCACTTGTGGAAGTCGTCAGGCTCGTGCTCGAACTGCTCCAGGAGGGCTGCCAGCGTTGGCTTCTCGGCTGCGGGTTCGGCTGGTGCCTCTTGCTTGCCGACTGTGGCCTTGAGCTTGTCGAACTCATCTTCTGCTGCGATGGAGGCTTCCATCGCTTCACGAAGCTTGCGTTCACTCTCAGCCAAGTACTGCTGGGCACTCTCCACTTGCTCCCCTGCCGATCGTACCTTCTTCTGGAGTTTGTCCAAGCGTCGAGCCGCTGCCTCCACTGCCTTGAATCCAACGACTGGTTGATCTGCTGGTGGCTTGGCTGCGGCGAGCTCTGGCCAGAGGGCCTCGTAGTGCTGCCTGAGCGGGTCGTCCTTGCTGAGCTTGCCGTATGCTGCTGCGGCTGCGGCCTTGAGATCGGCGGTCTTGTCGTGAGGTGGTGGCTGGCGTTGGCCTCCTTGCCCTTTCCCGCCTGCGCCACCTCCTGGCTGCCAACCATCTGCCCAGCTGATCCTGGGCGAGGTTCCTCCTTGGGGCTGTGCTGCCACCCACCCACCATCCTCGTCACGGAAAACGTGTCCGTCAGGGACGAGGCAGGCGAGATTCTTGCCGCAGATGCAGAGGTCGCCCCTGCTGGTGATATTCTTGCTGTAGCGCCATCTGCTGCACCCGTCACACACCACGTAGCTGCTGCGAGGAGGGCGACTGCCACTGCTGCTCCTCTTCCACGGGGGCACTCTCTGGCGATTCGGGGTCCCCGACCAGGCGCTGCCCGCCCCGCGTCCGCCGCCGCCACTCCCCATGGCTGCAGCAGTGCCGCGCGCGCGCCCGACGCCCGTCTGGGAACTGTCCTCGGTCCAAAGGTCTCCCTTCGGCCTGGAGGCTGGACAGCCCCCCAGGTCGCCATCTTGAGCCAAAATGGCTACGGGGAGGAGGAGGAGGGGGAGGAGGAGGAGGAGGGGGAGGAAGAGGAGGGGGACCCTCCAGCGGATCCCCCGCGCGCCGCACCTCCTCGCGGTGAGCGCCCCCCCCCCCCCCCCCCCCCCATTCCTATAGGAACAGGGAAAGGCGACACCAACACCAACAGGGCGAGGAGATGCGCGGAGGCCAAGGGAGGTCTCCCTGGTGGTGTGGTCCCCCCCTCTCTCGCTCGAGACGTGCCCAGTCTCCCGCTCGGGGAGGCGTTGTGGACCTCCTCACTGGAGGTGGGCCCCCTGGTGGTGTGGGTATCGCTTCTCCTCCCTCCGATTCTATAGGCCTACCACGACATGTTCGTAGCACCAAAACATGTTCGAATAACAAAGACCATATTCTTAGAACATAAACACGATATGTTGAAACAAGACCGCCCCAGCCAGAAGTGTTCTAAGAACATTTCGTGGAAACCATAAAAGGCTCTTAAAACATTGTTTGGTAGGCCCATGGGCACGCCAGGACGCTTCGCCACTGCTTGAGAGGAAGGGGGGGGGCAGAAGGAGGGACGACGAGGTTCGAGGCTCGGCGGCACTTCTCTGTGGACGTGCGCTCGAACCGGGCGCCGACTCCCAAGCAGCACAGGACCGAACGGGGGCCCGAAAACGACGAAGGAGCGAGGGAGGGCCAGAGGAAATAGCCTACGGCTGACGAGGTTCGAGAGCTCGGCGAGCAGGAGGAGGGAGGCGACAACTGATCCCCTCCCCCATCGTTGCTCCGCCTCCTCCATAGCCGCCCCCGACTGCAAATCTCCCTCACGCTCTTTTCATGACGGATAACTCCGCCCTGTCGCGCCCGCAGGCGTGTCGGTAGAGCGAACCAGGCGATTCGCTCCAGACGCCCTCGCCACTTAATTATGGCCCTGAATCTTGACATCTGCAGCAATCAAAAGGATGGAGCCCAGGTCATTTTCAAACGGAGCTACCGCCCTAACGCCACCCACAATCGTTTTAAAAGCTTGTGGCAGATACAAGGACAGCCGTCTTCAAGTGGAGCTCTCGTCGTCGTCGTCGTCGTCGTCGTCGTCGTCGTCGGTGTGCTGCCCCTTCTCGTCCCTGTTCCCTTCTCCCTCCCGAACCTCCCCGCGTCGCGGAAACCTCGCGACAGAAGGTTTGGCCATGTTCAGGCTGCAGGACCGTTCCAAAAACGACTCCTGCTGCTCCTCCTCCCCATCATTTTCCTCCTCCTCACCCGTCTCAACTTCTGCCGGTTTTGCCTGTTTCTCCTCTACTTCTCCTCACTCCTCTCCTATCCTCTTGCTGCTGCTCTCCTCCTCCACCCCCCGCCCCCCTCCTCTCACTTCTCCTCCCACCTCCTATTCCGCATCCTCCCCTGCTTCCTCCTCCCCCTCCTGGGGATCGCTCCTCCCCCGCCGCTGCACCTCCCCGACCCGAACGAGCCTCCTTGTGGGCCCGGTCGACCGTGTAGAACGAGGAGCCCTGCCCTGAGGGCACCAGGCTGAGCCCGGCCTGGCGCGGGCGAGGGAGAGAGGGAGGGAGGGAGGGAGGGGAGGAGGGAGGAGGGAGTGAAGGAGGGAGAGAGGAGGGAGGGAGGAGGGAGGGAGGGAGGGAGGGGAGGAGGGAGGATGGAGTGAGGAGGGGCGGAGGGAGACGGGAGAGGGAGGGGGGGGAGAAGGGAGGGAAGTGACGGGGGGCAGAAGAAAGGAGGGAGGGAGGGAGGGAAGGCAGGAGGGAGGGGGGAGAACCTTGGGGGGGAAGAGACAGAGAAGAGTGGGGCTGAGGCAGGGAGGGAGGGAAGGATGATGGGGGGGGGGATGATGCAGGAAGAGGATGCAACGCGAGGGGCATGAGGTGCCAGAGGAGGGGGGTTGGAATTGAAGTCAAAGCCGCAGGACGAAGCCCTACCAACCCGTTACAGTGGCGTGTCCTGAAGGGGAAGCAATCATGTTACGTTGAGGTCCGTCTGTCAACAGGGTTATCGGCCTGGTCTATACCTGCTCTGGCTCTTGAACCCCCAATTGCATTTAGATTTCTAGTTGTAGTGCTCATCGGCATTCCTGGCATCTGTGTAGTCGCTAGTACGCTATTACGACTGAGCTGGCAACTTTGCTAGACGATCATTTCGCGACTTATTATATTTGCTGTACAGTAATCATCATTTACTGTGCGGTACTCACCATGCCAACTGCTCATGTTAGACGATCATGTTAGACGATCACTTGCTGTACGGTGCTCATCATATTCATTATCATGGTGTTCCCCGCGCTGCTCGTCTGCCGCATTTGCGCGCTACGGTGTGATATATTTGACGTTCCGCTGGCTTGCTGGTTGTCATGTCATGTCGGCACGCCTCATATGAAATTGGCCACCAATACGACGAAGCATTACCGTTATGGTAGTGGCGTGTCCTGACGAGAAAATAATACCCTTACGTTGTGGTTCGTCGTTTCTTAACACTTACCTAGACCTCTTCTGGGCTTGACGAGCTAATTCCGTCTTACTGTAAGCCTTGGGCCAAACCCCATGGGCCATTCGCTTTACATACTCCTGACGCCTCGGGGTGGCTTCGCCACCACGCGCCCCCCCCAATCCAGACTGCCTCTGAAAGCAATCGATACCGCAAGTGGCACATAACCAAACATTCACATCTTGATGCTACCTCATGCAATTTGTGGGTGCACGAACGCCACAACAAGATGAATCGAAGCCCCCCGGGGAAGCGCACGAAAGGACAACGCCACAAGACGACAACACGGTGACCTACGCCACTAACTGACACGGGCAGCCGAGATGGATCCGTGACAACGCCGACAACGGCGCCCAAAGTCGTCAGGGGCGTGCTCACACTCGAAGACTTGATGGCATCAAGGCTCGGGAGGAGGGAGACTGGGATCATGGAGGACGGCGCCAGCCCAAGCTCGTCCAGATGGTGATGGAGGAGAACGAGGATGTGAAATGAAAATGACTGAGGAAATAGGTGTGAGGAGGCGGAAAGGAAAGACTATCAAGAATAATGATAAGAATGCGACTTGTCATTGTACTACGATTAACCAAAAGTAATTAGAAGAAGGCACGTCACAATCATACTACTAAGACGTGAGGGAGAACCGCAAGCTGCTGCTGAGCACGCGCGACATGACGCCATGCGGTGGCAACCCGAAGCTGCGATAGTTCATCTGGCAGAGGCTGGTCCTGGAGGAAAGGGGTCACTTGCGGACCCATCCGTTTCGAAGTGGCAGGCCCGCCTGTCAAGGGGGGCGTTCCCTACAGTGGATAGGAATGTGTGGTGGGACTTAGGACGGGAGGGTCTATTGCAGCACCGTTGACGCATCTTGGGATTACTCTGGTCCTCCTCCTCCTCCTCCTCCTCCCTGCCCTCCTGCCCATTCGCCCTCCCTCTTCCCTCCCCCCTCCCTCCTCTTCCTCCTCCTTCTCCTCCTCTTTGTCTTCCTCCTCCTCCTCCTCCTCCTCCTCCTCCCCCTCCTCCCTTCCCCCGACCCGTCGTACCTCGGATATATCCAGCGGTGCGTTCTGACCAGGAAATCGGCGCGGATCAAGTCGTGTCAACAACAAATTATCTGGAGTCAGAAACTACGATAAGCGCTCAGAAACCTCGACCCAGAAGTTTGAAGCTCTAATCTCGAGGCTCTCCATCTTCATCGAGCTCCCCCGTTCCCGCTCCCCCTCCTCCCTCCTCACCATCCTTCCCCCCCCGCCTCCCCCCTCGAGCGTCGGCTTGAATGGTGGTTCATATCTACCTCTGCGAGATGGCTGTAACCCCTGAAGTCCATCCTTGTCCTCCTCATCCTCCCTCCCCCCTCCCCCTCCTCCTCCTCCTTCCTCCTCCTCCTCCTCTTCCCCTGCTCCTCTTCCGCACCCCTCTTCATCAAGAATTATTCAATATGACTACTGCTCTCCTCTCTCCCCTGATGATGTTTAGAAGATGTCCGGACCCCCTCCGCGTCTTTTTTCTGGACAAAGACTTCCCGGGAATTGGGTTTTCGCTTGGTTGTTTTCAAAATGTTGCTTCCGCTGAAGCGCTGGCCTCAGTTTCGGGCTTCCGCTCGTTCTGAATCGTGCTCCCGCTGTAGCGCTGGTCTCATTTCCGCGCTTCCGCTCGTTCCGAATCGTGCTCCCGCTGCAGCGCTGGCGTCACTATTTCCAGTGCCGTGCCACTGCATGCGATGCAATGCTACGTGGTCTTCTGCTGTGCGAGGCCATGCCCCCAAATCTGGAAAATGCCGCCCCGAAAAAACCATGGGAAGTGATTCCACATTCGGTGTCGGTTCGGTGTTTTCTTGGGCCGCAGAAGACCCCGCCGCTTTGGGTCGTCGTCGTTTTCAGGAAGTACCAAGCGGGAGCCTCGGTTCTGCTTTGAGAAGGCGATGTAGAAACCAGAGCCAGCGGGTGCTCTCCATCAGCCCCGCCTTGTGTGGATCTTCTCGGGAAGCCTAAGGAGCTAGACATGGAGCCACGACTCCAGACTGGCCCAAACCTCTCGAAGACGATCCACTTACCCTCCAAGGAACACAGCGCCATGCCATGACTTGCTGTGCGGTGTTGTGTTCTGTGCCGCTGTGCGATGCCATTTTTTGCAGTGCAATGCTTTGTGATGCAATTCTTCACTACGCAACGCCACACCATGCTATGGCATGCTACGCTCTGCCGTGCTCTTCTACGCCCTGCTATGCCGTGCTCTACGATGCGTCGCGCACCCTCTCGCGATCATTGCCCCGTTCGACATCCGACTGTGCGACTCGAGAGAAGATCCACGCCATGGTAAGGGATGGGAGGGAGGGGGTAGGACGTCAGATCTGGCGCGAGCGCACCTAGCTTGCCCCTTCCCCTCCTCCTTCCCCCCCCTTCGCCTCCCCCGGCTCCCCCGGTCGGCGGTGCCGAGGTGGGGCCCCGACGGCTGGAGCCCCCAAAAGGACGAGCGGCCTCACACGGCGCGGACGCCGAGCGCGAGCTGCCCTTTTGCCGCCCCCCAGAGGGGCCCCGCCCCTCGCCGCTGGGGGCCGCTGCTGGGAGGCCGCCGCCGGGAGGCCGCCCCTCCCCCGAGAGGCCCCCGCCGCCGCTGCCGCCGAGGCCGCTGGTCGCAGGCCGGCCCGGCGAGGCCCCACCACGGAGGCCCCTCTCGGGAGAGGCCGCCCCGCCCTCGGGGGCTCCGTCTCTCTGGCGCCGCCGAGGCCGCCCGCCACGGGCCGTCCTGCCGAGACCACCGCGGAGGCCGCGGCAGCGGCGGCGAGCGCGGGGGGGGGCGAGGAGGAGAGGGGGGCCCTCTCGGAGGGCGGCGGGACTTCTCAGAAACCCTCGCGCCTTCTGAGAAGTTACCTGTGTCTGCGGGGAGGGCTCAGAAAACGTCTCCGAAGGCAAGGGGGCATCCGAGCCTTCTGAGAAGTTCCGCCCCTTCTCACTTCCCCCCCCCTCGCTCGCCGCCGAATTGTAAGATGCCGCTCGTCCCAGGGCGCGAGCAAAACGTCGCTCTTGATTCGAACATTGCGTGCGTTCAAAACGCTGAAGCAAAAACGACAACGACGCCATCCCCCAGACAACCTGTTTCGTTCCAAGCCGTCGCCCGCGCGCGCGCTGGCGCCCGAAAAAAAACAGCACGGGGAACGAACGCGGAATGCACACATAGCAGAACAACCCTTTGCTCGCGCCGGCCTTAAAGCCACCTCCCTCAACACCCCCGACCAATTCGGAGCCTCAAAACCGTGCGGTGACGGGCCACGTGGTGACCTCGGAATCCCAGACGACCTCACCGCGCGACCCGTCACCGCACGAGTTTGGGACCTTGGAGACCCCAGTCGCTCGAGCTCGAGACATCCTCGGAGAACGTCTCGAGTCTTAAAACCGCGTTGTAACCCCGAATCCACACTGACTCACCATGCGGTGTGGTCACCATCCCGTTTGTAGAGGCCTCCTTGATGGGGTCCGAATAGATAGGGTCGGAGGATCGCGCCGCATCAGCGATGCGATAAATCGCCGATTCATTGGCGATGCATTGGGAACGTCGGCGATGCATCGGCGCCGTCGGCGTGGAAAAAACCGGGCTCCATAACGAGCCGCGTCGGCGATGCATCGGCGACGCGGCGCGATCCTCCGACCCCATCTACTCGGACCCCATCTGGGAGGACTAAGAGGTCAGGGCCGAGTCGAATCGCATCCCAAGCCTACGGCTCGAATCCAAGGGCTCCCAACTTCGCGCTTCGCGCTGCGCGAAGCGTGAAGCGCGAATAACTTCGCGCCCCCGCGCCGCCTCCCAGGGGGGAGGAGGAGGACGAGGAGGAAGCGGAGCCGAAGCGCGCAGCGCGAACAACTTCGCGCCCTCGAGGGCGCCCTTGGACTCGCATCGACGCGGATCGCAGGTGGCCCTGCCGGGGGGGGGCGCCCGTCACAGACCGCGCCTGCGAGGCGGCGTGCTGCGAGGAGGCGGGGCGCAGCGACTCCTCCCCGAGGCCCTGGGCGCGCGCGGCGGCGGCGCCCCCGGCCGCCGGCCGCGGTCGGTCGGCACCGGCGAGGAGAACGAGGACCGAGCCGCGGGGGGGGGAGGGGGAGAGCAGCAGGAGTGGACGCTCCGAGCGAGTGCGCGGAGGAGGAGGAGGAGGAGGCGGAGGAGGAGGAGGAGGAGGAGGAGGAGCAGGAGGAGGAGGAGGAGGAGGAGGAGAGAGCAGCAGGAGGTCGAGGCCCAGCAGCCTGCCTGGGAGGGAGAGAGACAACAAAAAAAGCACGGCGAGAGGAGGACGAGGAGCACGCGCCGCGCCCCCGGGAGATGCTGGGCCGAGGGGCTCTCGGAGCCCGTGGAGCAGCTCCTCAGGAGTGAGGACTGGGGCTTGAGGAGGAGGAGGAGGAGGAGGAGGAGGAGGAGGAGGAGGAGGAGGAGGAGGAGGAGGAGGAGGAGGAGGAGGAGGAGGAGGAGGAGGAGGAGGAGGAGGAGGGAGAGGAGGAGGCGGCGCGGCGAAACGGTGTCGGGCCGAAGGTCGATAAAATCGACGCAAACGATCAATCTGGACATACTCAGACGATTGCGACCTACCGTGCGCGTCAGAAGACGTCGACTAGGACGGCCCCACGGTGGGAGCCCCAAGTGAACCTCGCTCGACCGGGGGTCGGATCGGGTCCACTCGGCGGGAGGAGGCATCGAGCTCCGCAGCGCCGCCCGGGCCCTCCCCCACGCGGGGGCCACACGGGACGCTCGACCACGGCACTGGCAGCGTGAGGACCCCGCCCTGCCTGGGAGGCCCGACGCCCTGAAGGGGAGGAGCGAGGAGAGGAGAGGAGGAGGAGAAGAGAGGAGGAGGAGAGAGGAGGAGAGAGGAGAGGGGAGGAGAGGAGGAGGAGAGGAGGAGAGAGGAGGAGGAGAGGGGAGAGGGGAGGCGAGGGGGCAGGATAGGGGAGAGGAGCGAGGAGGCGCGAGAGGGGGGCGGCCTTCCGGGGCGAGAAGGCGGGACCAGTCGGCACCGACGCGGAAAAAAGTCGGATCAGATCGCCACGAGCGTCGGCTGGGGCCGCCCCAGCACGGAGCGGAGCCGAAATCGCATCGGATCGACGGATCGGGCCGGCCAGCATCGAGATCGAACCGGATCCATCGGATGCAACTGGGCCCCGCCGGCTCGACTCGGATCGAGAAACTGCTCGAGCGGTCGGGCTGGATCGAGTCGGGTCGATGCCCGAACAGACTCTGCTAGAGAGGACCGGAGCTTGTTGCTCGGTCTCGGGGCTCACACACCGGTAGCGTGGTGGCCACAGCCTCGAGGCCTGCTCGGCCTGGAGCTCGAGCCTGTCTGTCTGCAAAAATCTGCGGCCACATCCGTCCACCACCAACACCGTCTCCCACTCCACAGTTGGACCAGAGCGACCCAGACCTCCTGGCGTCGTGACAGAAGACTCGACGGGAGTTATGTTGCTGTAAGAAATCAACTAACAAATATAAATGCTGGATTCCCTAAATCCGCATGGGCGCTCTCTCCTCTGCCCTGGCTGTATTTCCTATGACATTCAGGCTCAATGAAATTCAGGCTCACGCTCGAACGTTTCGGGCTACCGCCCAAACAGGCCACCCAACAGCGACAACAGCAGCAGCAGCAACATCAACAACAACACCACCACCAACAACAACAGCATCCAACACCACCAACAACATCAGCATCAATAGCAGCAGCAACAACAACACCAGCACCACCAACAACAACAACATGAACAACAACAATAACAACAACAGCAACAACCAAACACAACAACAGCAGCAACGACGACGACAACGTCAACAACAACAACAGCAGCAGCAGCAACTGCAACAGCAACAGCAACATCAACAACAGCAGCAACAACAGCAGAAGCAAAAGCACCAACACCAACACCAACACAAACACCAACAACACCAGCGACAACGAGAACAACACCAACAACAACACGAAACAACAGGAGCAGCAACAACGACATCCACAACAACAACAACAACAACAACAACAACAATTACTCGCACGTGGGGACACTCCGTTCTCACCAGTGCCAGGGTTTTCATAGGAGGCGGGCAATACCCCCACTTTGTGGGGGGGCCGGTTCAAGCTCTACCAAATTTCCAAACGACTCTTCGCCACCACCCACACCCAGCTTCCCGCCCTATGACGTTCGGACACTTCACTTCGTGGCATGCGGACGACCGTGGCTACTATTCAGGGCCCCGCGGCCGACGACGACGGCGTGCGCGCGCGAAGAAAAAACGAATGTGTCCCGCATGGTATTATTTGACAGGGATGATGGCCCTGGCAGGTGCGCAACCGTTGTTGCAGAAGTTCGAAAAAGTTGCTCGCAAAAGCCCGTTTGACAGAAATGTTTAAAAAGTGTTGGGTTTCCTACGAATCCGCAAGAGCGCGCGGGATGAAATTTTGACATTTTTTTTTTTTTTTTTTTTTTTTTTTTTTTTTTTTTTTTTTTTTTTTTTTTTTTTTTTTTTTTTTTATGTTTTTATGTTAAAATCGCTACGAAAACTAAGGTTTTGGAAGGATTTCGTCTTGCGCGCGCGAATGTCCACTTTACCTTATTTTTTGCAAGGGATTCTTGAAGTTTGGTTATGTTAGAACAAGAAATGTCCACTTTAGCTTATTTTTTGCAAGGGAAAGCGGGCCGTAACAAAACAACCGGATCCGGACCAACCCGTTTTGCCTGAGACTTCCTCACGAAAATGATGAAAATGTGGCTGCGGCCTAGGCGCGGCGGGGGGGCCATGCACCAGGGGTCCCAACAATAATTATTCTTTAGAAGTAATAATGTTCAACAACAACAACAACAACAACAACAACAACAACAACAACAACAGTAACAGCACCAACAACTGCAGCTGCAACAACTTCAACACGACCACCAACACAAACAACGGCAACAATAACAACAACACCACCACAACCAACAACAACGACGACGACGACCATGACAACACCAACACCAAGCACAACAACAACAACAACAATAACACCACCACCGCCACCAACAACAACAACAACAACAACAACAACAACAACGACGACGACGACGACGACGACGACGACACCGACACCATAACAACACTACTTACACCAACACCAACGCGAACACCGCCAACAACAACACCAACAACACCAGCACCAGCAACCGCAACAACAACAACAACAGCAACAACAACACCACCACCAACAACCGCAATATCAACAACAACAGAAACATCAACAACCAAACACAACAACAGCTGCAACGACAACGACAACGTCAACACCAGCAGCAGCAGCAACTGCAACAGCAACAACCGCAGCACCAGCAGCAACAGCAGCAGAAACAACAACACCAACACCAACACCACCACAAACACCAACAGCACCAGCGACAACGACACCAACACCAACAACACAAGCAACAACAGCAGCAGCAACAACGACATCCACAACAACAACAGTAACAGCAACAACAACTGCAGCAGCAACAACAACACTACCACCACCAACACGAACAACAACAATAACACCACCACCACCAACAACAACATCATCAACAACAACGACGCCGACGAGGAACCACGGCAACACCAACACCAAACACAACAGCAACAACGACGACAACAACGACAACATAACAACACCACCATCACAAACACCAACACCAACGCCAACAACACCAACACTAATAACAACAACACCAGCACCAGCAACCGCAACAACAACAGCAGCAGCAACAACACCACCACCACCAGCAATACCAACAACAACACCAGCAACGCCACCAACACCATCAACAACAGCAATCAATTCAAGACTGTTCGCGTTTATCTGCTCGAGTGTCCGTTAACGCGTATTTCCCAAACCCTCGATACCGCCCTCTTCGTCTTCGATCGTACCCCTTTTGGTGGGTATAACTCTATTCCCTGCAGGCAGGGTCTCGGCAAGCGGCGGGGCGGCCGCGGACCGTCGGCCTGGCCAGCGGCAGCGCTGATCGGCGGCAACCCGACCCCAAAAGGGACGGACAGGGGACCGACCACGACGACGACGACGACGACGAGCGAAAGCGAGAGAGAGAACCACAGCAGGGCCACGGAGGGCACGAAGGAGGCCACGAAAGGCGACAGCGGGGACACGAATGGAATGCGTATGGGGCCACGATGGGCGAGAACGAGCGGGGGCCACGAAGGGCAGACAATGCGGGGCCACAGAAGGCAAGGACGGGGCCACTGAGGGTAGCAACGGGGCCACGAAGGGCAGCGAGGGGGACACAAACGGCGACAGCGGGGCCACGAAGGGCATGCACATGGGGCCACGACGGGCGCGAACGAGCGGGGGCCACGAAGGGCATACGTATATTGGGCCGCGGAGGGCAAGGACGGGGCCACTGAGGGCAGCAACGGGGCCACGAAGGGCAGCGAGGGGGCCACGAAGGGCGACAGCGGGGCCACGAAGGGCATGCATATGGGGCCACGACGGGCGCGAACGAACGGGGGCCACGAAGGGCATACGTATATTGGGCCGCGGAGGGCAGCGAGGGGGGCCACGAAGGGCTGCAACGGGGTAGCGATGGGGCCACGAAGGGCAGCGAGGGCGCCACGAAGGGCGACAGCGGGGCCACGAAAGGCATGCATATGGGGCCACGACGGGCGCGAACGAGCGGGGGCCACGAAGGGCATACGTATATTGGGCCGCGGAGGGCAGCGAGGGGGGCCACGAAGGGCTGCAACGGGGTAGCGATGGGGCCACGGAGGGCAGCGAGGGGGCAACGAGGGGCTGCAACGGAACCACGAAACAAAGCGAGGGGCCCACGAAGGGCTGCAACGGGGCCACGAAGGGCAGCGAGGGGGCACGAAGGGCTGCAACGGAGCCACTGAACAAAGCGAGGGGGCCACGAAAGACTGCAACGGGACCACTAAGGGCAGCGAGGGGGCCACGAAGGGCTGCAGCGGGGCTACGAAGGGCAGCGACGGGGCCACGAAGAGCTGCAACGG